TCCTCATCCCAGCCACCAGTGTAAGGGAGGGTGTTTGTGGAAAGGGACTGCCATATATCACCAGTTAGAAAAGGTATAAGTATTAATTTAAGTTCTGCCCTTTTCTGTTCCTTAACTCTATATTAGGCTCTTTGTGTCGGGGCCAGGCTCAATTGTAACTCCTGTGTTCTTAACCCCCTTTATTGTCTAAGTCTTGGATCTGCAAGGCCCATAGGAAGAGACTTTTAACAATCATCCACAGTGCTTTCATCTAAAATCTCTTGAAAAGGCAGGAATATGCTTTTCCTTATGCGGAATCTGTGTGGGGAATATCGGTCTGATTTGGAATATTGTGAGGTCTGGTCAATACCAGCAGGCTCATTTCCAACATGAGCCAGTAGTAGCAGGAGATACCAGTTTTGCTTCTCATGGCAAGAGCTGTGCAAACGCTGCCATTTCCTTGCTGTGACTGTCATCCAGTGAGGCCGGTGCAGCTCCCGGGATATGAACTTAACCACTACCTTCTCATGCTTCTCAGGATCTATCTTATATTTCTTCAAATACTTTATTTCCAGGACATCAAGTTTATGCTGAGCACTTTGACTAAGTTGGAAAAGTATAAGATTTGAACTCAGATTTAATGTAGATTCTCCTGGTAACACTAGACCAGAGCTTATTGGCTGGTCTCTATAAAGTAGGATTAATTGAACTCATTTACATGCATAGATATTTTGGGAGATTATTCCATTAGTATCTGGATTTTACTTGAAAAGTGAATAGCATTAGGTGTCCTGGCTATGGAGTGGAGAGCCACACAGATCTTTAAGGACTGGCTTGTAAACATGTAATCAAAAGTTCTGGTGCTGCCTGAGAATCCAGAGCAGGTTTTAAATAGCTTACAGAGAGCTCAGCTGGTCTTTCCAAGTCCAAGTTATCAAAAATAGTTTCCTAGTTTATGTGTGTGACCTTCCCTGGCCACAGAAACTGAACCATAAAGACTGTTCTGCCTTTGCCTGTCTCTGGAGGCAAGAGCAAAACTCTACTTTTTCAAATATAAACTATACTTTAAAAATCTAAATAATTACAAACATAGGATTAGCATACAGCCCTGTGAGGCCCATGGATTTCCCTGAATTCAGTGGAATCACTCTTTCTACAAAAGACTTCTTTTTTTTCTTTCATAGTTTATTGTCAAATTGGATTCCATATAATACCCAGTGCTCATCCCCACAAGTGCCCTCCTCCATGCCCATCTCCCCACTTCCCTCTCCTCCCACCATCAGCCCTCAGCTTGTTCTCAGCATTCAAGAGTCTCTCATGGTTTGCCTCACTCCATCTCCCCAACTAATTTTCCCTTTCTCCTCCCCCATGGTCCTCTGTTAAGTTTCTCCTAATCCTCCTGTAAGTGGGAGCATATGGCATCTGTCTTTCTCTGTCTGACTTATTTTGCTCAGCATAACACCCTCAAGTTTCATCCACGTTGCTACAAATGGCCAGATTTCATTCTTTCTGATTGCCATATAGTATTCCATTGTATAGATAAACCACATCTTCTCGATCCAGTTGATGGACACTTAGGCTCTTTCCATGATTTGGCTATTGTTGAAAGTGCTGCTATGAACATTGAGGTACATGTGCTCCTATGCATCAGCACTTCTGTATCCCTTGGGTAAATTCTTAAAGTGCTATTGCTGGGTCATAGGGGAGTTCTATTGTTAATTACAAAAGACTTCTAAGATAAGGAATAGGGCCAGGCCCTCAGTGACCAAGGCCTCCATTAGAATATTTAGCCAGAATCAGATACAGCTATAGAGAGAGACCTGAGGATTCCTCTACAGACAACTTAAGAAACTCTGATATTGTTCATTAACTTGTTTTACCTAACTTGTCTAATAATTTACTGGAAGAAGTACTAATATAGTTCAATGGCTTTGCTCACTTCTTCTTGGTAGGTCTGGAAGATAGGTTCCAGCATTTCTAAATCTGTTTTATGAACTTTCCCCCTGAGAATAGTTCTGACTAATATCTGTATGTGAAAATAGTGGAGAAGAAGAAAAATGATTGCAATGCTGAGATATTTTCTAGAATGCTAATCATGTGGAAATATTGTAAAACATGAAAAAGAAATGAAATGAAACTGAGAGTAAATATTCAAAATACTTAGGGAGTCAAACCTTGGCATTATTCTCCACTTAAAAAATAATACTACTTTGGTCCAGAAAAAAAAAAATGTGTTTCAATGTTCTTCCCACCTGGTAGAATTAGGTATATTTATATGAAATACTGGGTCTTGATCTTCTAATACCATTGTTAATCAACAAAGGACTTGTTTTAATTTTCTAGGTGAGTTGGTTGGAATTTAACACAGTTTCTTTTGCTGATAGATATTTTCCTAGTAGACACAGATATTGAGGGAAAGCGAGTTCTCATTGAAAGAGGTTTGCAACGCTAGGTATAATTGACATTTGGGGAAACTAAAGGTTAACCTATTTCTTAGAATATTCACTTCTTTTGAAATAAAAGTTTTATAATTTATTATGGAACTCTTGAACTTGATTTACTTCATAGTTAGAATCTTAGCACACAGAATTAAAAATAGATCTTAAAAAACTATTGTTGACAACTGTTGGTTGGCTGATCCAACAGTCCTTTCTACCCCCTGGAGCTGGGGAATTTTTATGAATTTTCTTGATTCTTTGGCAAAAGAAACATGTGAGGGAGCACTGCCACTCTTCTCTTCCTCTTGCCCTTGTTGCTGGCACTATGCCCAAGTTCTAGCAGCCATCTTGTGACCATTAGGAACCTTGACAGAGGCAAGCCACTGAATTGATGTCTACCTCAGTTTTCCTCTGAGGCAAGCAGAAAGATGACTATATTTTAAAAGCCACTCATATTTCCTATAATTTGATTTGTATGTATTCCTAACTCATATAATAAAATATAATGATATCAAATATCACTATACCAAAGACTTAGAAGATGATGTTATTGAAGCCAAACTGGACATTGTTGCATTTTTTTCAATGCAATGAAAACTTTCTAGACCAATTTCAAAATTGAAAAATGCATTTACTAGTTTGCCATTTCCCCTTTTCATTTACTATTTTTCAAAAAATGTTTATTTTTGAGAGATGGGGGGAGGGGCAGAGAGATAGGGGTACAGAGGATCTGAAGCAGGCTCTGTGCTGACAGAAAGCCTGATGCATGGCTCAAAGTCACAAACTGTAAAATCCTGGCCTGAACTAAAGTCAGATGCTCAACCAACTGAGCCACTCAGAGGCCCCACCATTTACTGTTTTTGTCTTTTTAAGTCTAATTGTAAGTACCACCTCGTATGAACAGGATAAATTGTATTTGTTTTATAGTCAGTGGTTTTTATAAATTGGCCATTTCTCTCAAAACATTATTATAAATCAATATAAAATGAAAGAAACTTTGAAAGAACTCCTGAGATTTGAATAGTAAAATTAAATTAATAGCAAAAGGATAAATTAGATCTCTTTCCTTTCCCCATCCTTTCTTTTTTATTTCTTTTTCTCCAACTCTTTCCTTGCTCTCTCAGTGTTTTCTTTACCTAATCTTCTCACTTTTCGTATTTCTATCTTTGATTACCAGTGTAATGTGATATATTTTTTCATAAGAATATCAATATTTTTCTTAGTACTTATGTCCCTTTGTGGCAGACATTTTCTTCTGTATGCATTTTGTGGAGATTTTGCCCACATGTTATACAACAGAACCAGTAATGGAAAAGTTAAAAAAAAATTTTAGTTGCAAATAATTTCCCCCATTTTTTTCTGTAGAAAAACAATCATTGTTTGAAGTACATGCCATTTTGTCACAGTTGTGGATTTTTGATCCAAGCCAAAATATGAGATCACAAATGATAATTACATTGGATTATTTGCCAATATTTTCCACTCACATGTACAAAAATACTGTGTATTTTAACGTTATACCTATTGGCTAAATTATATAACTCCATTGGTGTCTGAGAAACAAGATTAAGATTAAGTAATATAATTTGGTGTATTTAATGTTTTAAACTGAACAGAATCGGGGGAAAAATGCTTAATACTCAGTAAAACATACTGAAAGCAAGTTTATACCATTTCCCTACACAAGAACAGCCACTTAGTCTATTAATAAGAGAAACAAAACAACATATCTTCCAGTTTTCACTAAATTCAAGAAAGCTTAGAATAATGTACGGAAACAATGTTTCTCTGCTCATATTAATTTGAAAACCTGAATAGACTTTATTTAACCAGAATCCAAAGTTCAGGGGCAAGATTGCTGAAAGATCTCTAGTTTTAAAATCATTGTTTGTAGAAGCGGACCTTTGTTCCCAGTCTGTAAATTATTAAAATGAGTATATAATGAGTTCCCAGATCTCCTCATTAAATGTTCTCGTACATGAGATGAGCTGTTTCCTGGTGCATCTCACTCTCTGGTACTTCATTACTAGCGATGGTACTGGCACTTTCAGATTTATTTCTAAAGGATACACAGGGATTCAATGAGTGCCAGAACTTGTCTTCAGGCAAATGACAGGCCAACTCTTCTGCCACGTTCTCTAAAAGTTAAAGTTTGAGAACCTCAGTGGAGGGCGTAATTCTTACTTTACAAGATTCTCAAATGTCCTTTCCTTTATTGTCTGTATAATTCACTTTGGTTTTTGTCTCAAAGTCCTTATTTTGCCTGAGGCAGAAATGTTAGGTTAGTCATTTTGAAGTAAAAATAAATTCAGTCGGTTTTCAGTCATTGAATTTTGAAATTTAATTATATTTAGGATGTTCCTCTCCCCCTCCCATTCAGTTTTTTCTTGCTATCCTTTCCCCTGGGTGGATTTTTTCAAATGCAAGGGCTAATGCATATGCCTCTGTGGGTGGCGTGAGAGAGAACTATTTCATCCAGGTCTTGATTCTTCAGTCCCAAACTGGATCCTTATTTTCTATGTAGTAACTTATGCTGTCAGATTCATGGAAAAAGCTAAGTATGATGCTTTCTCAAATGGCAACCTGGGTAGAATACAGCACTATCTTGGCATCTCCTCTGCTTCATAGCACTGGTGATTCCCTGAGTTCATTCTTACCACTTCTCTTTTGAGAATGGCTCCCATGGGCCCTGTTGGATACACCTCTTCTTCATTCCAATCGTAGGATATCTGCAAGAGTAACAATGAGTTAGTTTCCATGCCACATGTGGGGATGAAAGGAGCTTTTAGAGCCCCTTCTGTACCCCACAGGTGCCATAGGTATCTTGGGATGGTGTGTATGTCTCTTTCATGCCTAAGTGTGCCACACTACCATGTCTAGTTTCCCATCCTTTTTCTATTTCCTTGAGGGTGCAGTAGGCTTCTGACCTTCAGACTTTTTGTCTTGATGAGTTCCCAATAGTTCATTTTTGTTTTTGTTTTCCTTACCTCTGGAGACATGTCAAGTAAGAAATTGCTGAGGCTGAGGTCAAAGAGTATTTTGCCTGTTTCTCCTTTAGGATTTTGACAACTTCCTGTCTTACATTTAGGTCTTTCATCCATTTTGAGTTTATTTTTGTGTGTGGTGTAATAAAGTGGCCCAGGCTTATTCTTCTGCATGTTACTGTGCAGTTTTCCCAATACCATTTTCTGAAGAGACTGGCTTTTTTCCACTGGATATTCTTTGTTGCTTTGTCAAAGAGTATTTGGCCACATGTTTGTGTGTCCATTTCTGGGTCCTCTATTCTGTTCCATTGATCTGAGTGTCTGTTCTTGTGCCAGTACCATACTGTTTTGATTATTACAGCTTTGTAATACAGCTTGAAGTTCAGAATTGATGCTTCCAGTTTTGGTTTTCTTTCTCAGCATTACTTTGGCTATTTTGGGTCTTTTCTGGTTCCATACAAATTTTAGGACTGTCTGTTCTATCTCTGTGAAGAATGCTCATGTTATTTTGATAGGGATTGCATTGAATATGTAGATGCTTTGAGCAGTATCGACATTTTAAAAAAATCTTTTTAAAAATATTTTATTTATTTCTGAGAGGGAGAGAGAGAGAGACAGCATGGGCAGGGGAGGGTCAGAGAGAAAGGGAGATACAGAATCTGAAACAGTCTCCAGGATCTGAGCTACCTATCAGCACAGAGCCTGGTGTGGGGCTCTAACCCACAAACTGTGAGATCATGACCTGAGTCAAAGTTGGACGCTCAACTGACTGAGCCACTCAGGTGCCCCAGGTAGTACTGACATTTTGTTAATGACATTTTAACAATATTTGTTCTTCCAAGTCCTGACCATGGAATGTTTTTCCATTTCTTTATGTCTTCTTCAATTCCTTTCATGAGGTTTCTGTAGTTTTCATTGTATAGATTTTTCACCTAGATATTTTATGCTTTTTGGTGCAAATGTAAATGGGATTGATTCCTTGATTTCTCTTTCTGCTGTTTCATTATTGGTGTATAGAAATGTAACTGATTGGTTATTTTTTTAATGTTTATTTTTGAGAGAGTGCAAGCATTATACCCGGTGAGCGGATACAGAGGATCCAAAGTGGACTCTGTGTTGACAGCAGGGAGCCTGATGTGGGGCTCAAACTCATGAACCATGAGATCATGACCTAAGCCAAAATTGGAGGCTCAACTGACTGAGCCACCTAGGCACCCAAGTGTTGGTTATTATAAATGTTGCCATAAGTATTTTTGTGTAAGTCCTTGTAGTGATATTTTCATTTTGCTTGGGTTTTGGAGTAGAATTGCTGAGTTAAATGGTAGTTTAATGTTTAACACTTTGAGAAATGATCAAACTGTTTTCCAAAATGACTACATTATTTTACATTTCCATCAGCAATGTAGGAAAGTTCCTGTTTATCCACATCCTTGACAATGCTTGTTCTTGTCTGCCTGATTTATTATAGCCATTCTGCTAGATATGAAATGATACCTCCCTCTGGTTTTAACTTGTATTTCCTTAATAATTAATATTATTCAGTATCGAATTTTCTTGTGTCATTTTTACATTAACTGTTCATGTATCTTGTTTTGTAAATGTCTGTACACATATTTGCCTATTTTTGATGGGTTATCTTCTTATTATTGAGTTATGAGCATTCTTTGTAAACTCTGGGTGTATGTCCTTCACTGGGCATGCGCTTTGAAAATAATTGCTTCCTATCTATTGCTTGTCTTTTCATTTTGTTAATGGTGTCTTTGGAATGCAAATGGTTTAATCTTTGGTGAGGTCCATTTTAACAATTACTTTTTATTATGAACTATGCTTTTGGTCTTTGTCTAACACAAGGTCTTGAAGGTTTTCTTCTATATATTCTTCTGAATGTTTTATTATTTTAACTCCTACATTCAAGTATATGATACATTTTGAGTTAATTTTTGTTTATGGTCTGAGATGAAGGTCTAAGTCAATCTTTTCATATGTGGATATCTAATGGTCTCAACACCATTCATTGAACAGATTATCCTTTTACTTAATGAATTGCTTTGGAACCTTTGTGAAAAAAAGAAAATCAGTTGACTAAAATAGAAAGCATTATTTTGCAGTCCTCAATTCTGTTCCAATAATCTATATAATTACAAGTCTATATACCAGTACCAGATTGTCTTGACTACTTTATCTTTTTTTAAAGTTTTTTTAAGTTTATTTATTTTGAGACAGAGAGAGAGAGAAAGAGAGAGAGAGAGAGACCACATGAGCATGGGAGGGGCAGAGAGAGAAGGAGAGAGAAAATAGCAAGCAGACTCCATGTTGTCAGCATGAAGCCTGATGCAGGGCTTGATCTCTCGAACCATGAGATCATGACCTGAGCCAAAATCAAGAATTGAATGCTCAACCAACTGAGTCACCCAGGTGCCCCATTTGTTCTTATTTTTCAAAATTACTTTGACTATTTTTGGTGTTTTGCATTTTTATACAAATTTTAGGATTTGCTTGTCAATTTCTGAAAAAAAATGCCTACTGGAAGTTTTTCTTACTGATATGTATTTGACAGATAATATTGTGTCAATTTAAGGTGTGCAACATGTTAATTTGATATATTTATATAGTTTAATATGACTGCCATTGTAGTCAGAATTAACATCTCTATCACATTACAGAATTTTGATAGGGATTGTGTTGAATCTATAGATCAATTTGGGAGAGAATTGCCATCTTAACAATATTGACTCTTCTAATTCATAAACACAAAATGCCTCTCTTTATTGATTTAGGTCTTCTTAAATTTACTTCAGCAAAGTTTTATGATTTTCAGTGTATGTTTTGCACTTCTTTTGTAAAATTTATTCTTAAATTTTTTTCTTCTTAGTGCTGTTGTGAATGAAATTATGTTCTTAATTTTGTTCATATATAGAAATACAACTAATTTTTGTATATTGATTTTCTATCTAGTAACTTTGCTGTACTTTTAAAAAAATTTTTTGAAAAATTTTTAAATGTTTTATTTATTTCTGAGAGAAAGAGAGAGAGACAGCATGAGCAGGGGAGGGTCAGAGAGAGAGGGAGATACAGAATTTGAAACAGGCTCCAGGCTCTGAACTGGCAGTCAGCACAGAGCTCAATGCCAGGCTCGAACCCACAAACTGTGAGATCATGACCTGAGCCAAAGTTGGAAGCTTAACTGACTGAGCCACCCAGGCACCCTTTTTTATAAAAATTTTTAAATGTTTATTTTTATTTTTGAGAGACAAAGTGTGGGCAGGGGAAGGGCAGAGAGAGAGGGAGACACAGAATCTGAAGCAGGCTCCAAGCTCTGAGCTGTCATCACAGAGCCCAATGCAGGGGTCGAACCCATGAACCATGAGATCATGACCTGAGCCAAAGTGGGATTCTTAACTGATTGAGTCAGGTACTTACCTGACTAAGCCACCCAGGTGCCTGATGCTGTAATCTTTATTTAATTAATAGAGTTTATTTTTTAGAGCAGTGTTAGGTTTACAGGAAATTAAGCAGAAAGTATAGTTCCCTTGTACTTCCTCTACCTATCACCTTCCCACCCTTCCTATAGTTTTCTCTATTAACTTGTATTAGTGTGATACACTTGTTATACTTGATGAGCCAACGCATTATTATTAACTAAGGTTCATAGTTTATATTAGGGTTTGTTTTGTGTTGTACATCCTACTTTTTTTAAAGTTTATTTATTTATTTTGAGAGACAGTGTGAGGACTGAGAGGAGGAGGGGCAGAGAGACAAGGAGAGAGAGATTCCCAAGCAGGCTCCAAGCTCAGTGCAGAGCCGGATGTAGGGTTGATCTCACAACTGTGAGTTCATGACTTGAGCCGATATCAAGAGTTGGTCACTCAACCAACTGAGCCACCCAGGTTCCCCTTCTCTTTTTTTATTTAATTTTTTAATTGACACATAGTATTACATTAGTTTCAGGTATCTTTTGGGTTTTTACAAATATATTTGCCATTGTAGTATGGTACAAATAGTTCTAATCTAATATCCCCCCCACCCCATGTAGCTTTTCCCCTCCAAATTCCTGAGACAATTTTTTTTACTGACTCAGTAATTTTGCCTTTTCCAGAATGTTTGTTATAACTTTGTAAAATTAATATTTGTTACATACAGTCCTGTGGTGTTGAATGGTGAGCCCTATTTCAACAAAAGACCACAAGAGAATTCAAATTGAGAAGTTTGGGGGCACCTGAGTTGCTCAGTCAGTTAAGTATCCAACTCATGATCTCAGCTCAGGTCTTGATCTCAAGCCCCACATTGGACTCCACACTGAGTGTGAAGTCTTCTAAAAACAAACCAAAAAAAAATAAAAAGACAAATTTAAACAGACAAAATTTTATCACTCATAGGCCTTGGAGGAAGTACACAGCATGCCTTGAGGGACCACATGGAGTAGTCAAGGCAGAGTGTAGAAAGAATGTGACAGGACCTGGGAACAGGCCTTTATTAAGGTCCATGGGTGGAGTATTTTGGGGTTCCCAGGCTACGGCCAGGTTGGTCATTCACAGTAAAACAACAGGATTTTGATAAGATACACAGTGTCTTATCTAAAGGGGGTACCAGGTGCAGGGGAGACTTTATCACAGGGGCTGTTGGAGAAGTCATATCAGGAACTTAAATTTACTTGAGACTTTGCAAATTGTTATTTGAGGCCTGTGTTTGCATGAGGGTCTAATGTCAGTTTAAAGCCTCTGAAGGCCACTTGGCAAAGGAAATGGAGCTGAGCCAGCAATATCATAGAGTAACTTAAATTCTTAGCAGTCATATAGTTGGAATCATGCAGTATATAGTCTTTTTAGATTGGCTTCTTTCACTTATGCATTTAAGGTTTCTCCATGTTTTATTTCTTTTAATCACTGGGTAATATTCCACTGTAATAAAACAAATACTACACTTTGTTTATTCTGTCACCTATTGAAGGATATTTTGGTTGCTTCCAAGTTATATAAGTTATGAATAAAACTTCATGTGTAGATTTTTGTGTGGAGGTAAGATTTCAATTCATTTGGGTAAATATCAAAGAGTACCATTCCTGGATCATATGGTAGGCCAATATTTAGTTTTTTAGGAAACTGTCAAGCTATCAAATTTTCTCCAATGTGGCTGTACCAGTTTTTTAATTTCCACCAGCAATGAATGAGAGTTCTTGTTGCCCCATATCCTTACCAGCATTTGGTGTTGTCAGTGCCCTGGATTTTTGCCATTCTAATAAGTGTGTAGTATAATTTTAATTTGCAATTCCAAAATGACATATGATGTGGAGCATCTTTTCATATGCTTATTTGCCATCTGTATATCTTATTTGATAAGATACCTGATCAGTTCTTTTTTCACTTTTTTCTTTTTAAGATTTATAGTTTTAAGTAATCTTTGTACCCAATTTGGAGCTGGAATTCGCAACCCCGAGATCAAGAATTGCATGCTCCTCCAAATGAGGCAGCCAGGAGCCCCTCTTTTCTCACTTTTTACTTGTTTGTTTTTTTTATTGATGAGTTAAAAGAATTCTTTGTATATTTTAGATACAAGTTCCTTATCAGATATGTGATTTACAGATATTTTCTCCTGAGGTTAATTTTTGTGAAAGGTGTAGAGTCTCTGGATTTTTGTGGTTTTTTTTTTTTTTTTTGCATTTGGATGTTTAATTGTTCCAGCACTATTTGTTTAAAAAATTGTTTTCTTCATTGAATTGTTTTTGCTTCTTTGTCAACTATCAGCTGATTATATTTGTGTGGGTCTATTTCTGGACTCTCTATTCTATTCCTTTGATCTATTTGTCTATTCTTTTGCCAATACCACACAGTCTTGATTACTGTAGTGTCCTTCTGTTTTTGATTTCTAATTTAACTCCATTTGCATGAGTCAAATCCTTTTATTATTAATACTTATTTCATGGCTTAACATATGATCTATTCTAAGAATGTTCCAAGTGTGGCTGAAAAGAATTTGTATTCTGCTGTTAATGGGTGTTAAGTCAAGTGGGTTGATAATATTTTTTAAGTGGTATATATTCTTGCTGATTTTCTTTCTAGTTTTGCTATCAATTTTTGAAGCCAGAATATTGAACTCTACAACTATTGTTGAATTTTCTGTTTCTACCTCTAATTCTATCAATTTTAGTTTCATATGTTTGGGACTCAGTTGTTAGGTGTTTATGGTTTATTATTTGTTCCTACTAAATTGATTCTTCTATCATTATAAAATGTCTTTCCTGTCTAGTAGCAACTTTTTCTTAAAGTCTGTTTTGTCTTTTATTAGTACAGCCTCTTCACCTTTTATTTTGTTTACTGTTAATATTACATGTTTTTTTCTATCTTTTTACTTTTAACCTATTTTTTTAAATAGAACATGTTTTATTTTTTATTTTTTTAAAATGTTTTTATTTATTTCTAGGAGAGAGAGAGAGAGAGAGAGAGAGAGAGACAGCGTGAGCAGGGGAGGGTCAGAGAGAGAGGGAGTCACAGACTCTGAAACAGGCTCCAGGCTCCGAGCTGGCAGTCAGCACAGAGCCCGACGCGGGGCTCGAATCAACGAACCGTGAGATCATGACCTAAGTGAAAGTCGGACGCTTAACCGACTAAGCCACCCAGGCACCCCTAAATAGAACATGTTTTAATAGACTGCACATATGTATATATAATTGGATCATGAGGTTTTTTTTATTAATCCATTCTACGTGTTTCTGCATTTTGGATCAGGGCATTTAATTCTTTACATTTAATGTACTACTCATAAGGTAGGATTTATGCTATTTCACTGTTTGTTTGGTTTTCTGTATATCTTTTTTACTCCTATGTTTCTCCATTACTGACTTCTGTTGTGTTAAATAGATATTTTCTAGTATACCATTTAAATTCCCTCCTCCCTCTTTTTAAAAAATATTTTACCATGCATCTGTGGGTGTAGAACATCTGGGAAGTCACTACCATCACGGGGGATGCCAAACACACCCTACAACTTCCTCTATGGTCTCTGCTCCATTGTTGCTCTCCTTGGCTCCAAGGCTTAGCCCGCATTCTCTTGACCATTGAAGGAGATAAAGCTCAAGTTGGCCTCAGGGGAAGAGGAGAGAAGGAAACTGCAAGGTCAGAATCACCTTACTCCACCATTGCTCAGATACCAGGGTCACACTGTGCCTCTTTTACTCTTAAAATTATTTTCTTAGTGGTTGCCTTCGGTTTTATAACTAGCCTCCTAATTTAAAGTAATCTAGCTTAGATTAATATTAACTTAATTTCAATAGTATACAGAAATTTGCTTTAATACAGCTCCATTTCCTCCCTTCTCCTATGTGATATTATAATTATACAAATTATATCTTTATACATGATAAGACCATCAATACAGGCTTATTTTAATTGTTTTATACAGTTGTCTTCTAAATCAGACAGGAGAAGAAAAAAGCTACAAAAATTTCATTTGTATTGCTTTTTTATATTTATCTATGTAGTTACCTTACTGATACTCTATTTCTTCATATGGATTTTAGTTACTCTCTAGTGTTTTTCCATTTTAGACTGAAAGGCTCCCATTAGGACAGAAGCAATGATTGCGAATTCTTTTAGCTTTTGTTTACAGTGGGGTATCTTAATTTTTCCCACAATTTTGCAGAATATTTTGCTGGATGTAGAATTCTTGGTTGATAGTCTTCCCCTCAACCCCCCAGCACTTTAAATATGTCATCCCATTTCCTCTGACCTCCATAGGATGGGAGTAAGCCATGTTAAAAAAAAATCCACAAAGTTCAGATGCTTTTCTTGAATAAATTCTCCTCAGATTGTTACTCATCTTGGATTAGTTTCTAAACTAAAGGTTAATTTTGACAAATTTATATATATATATACATACTTATATATATGTAATATTTATTTATTTTTGAGAAACAGAGAGAGAGAGAGAGAGAGAACAAGTGGGGGAGGGACAGAGAGGAAGACATAAGATCCAAAGCAGGCTGTGTGGCTGTCAGCATGGAGCCAGTCATGGAGCTCAAGCTCATCAACCGGGAGATTATGACATGAGCTGACGTTGGAAGCTTAACTGACTGAGCCACCCAGGTACCCCAATATCATATTTATATTTAAGTCAGGGCTACAAAAATTATACTTTAGACATTTCGATCATGAACTGTGGAATAAGATAGGAATGGAGGCACATGAGTTGTATATATTCCTTAACTTCCATAAGCTTTTTTTTTTGCATATGATATACACTCAATAAGACTGACACCTTTTGATCTACGACAACATCATGACAGAACTTCTCTTAGTGGATCAATTATAGAAAAAGAACAATAAAGATGAAAAGTAATGACATTGAAAGCTCTTCAGGGTGGCATGTCACTGTAAAATTGAATGTCCTTCAAAATGTCTCCTCTGCGATTCCCAGTCTCCTATTTCTTATGCTATGTGTAAGAAGGCACAATCATGGCAGTTTATCATTTAGCTTTCTAGAATTTCTGTTCAATGGCTGAGTTCACTTATATATATGCTATGTGGATGATACTCCTTTGAGCACTGCAAAAGTGATGTCAGTGAGCCTAATATTGGATGATTTGGATATTTTCCCTTTTGTTATAGTAATTCCACACAGAATTTTTAAGTATATTCCCTTCAGACCAAGGGTACTATTTAAAGAGTGCTTCCTCTGAGTTTGGAGAATCTCTGATAGTCCTGAGAAAGCCAAAATGGGGATTTATACCCCAGACCAAGTCTCTTGTTTTACATTCTTCATTTTTAGAATCACAAACATACATATTGTAGAACTCCAGGAATGTGCGTGAAATGGCATAGTCTTTTGTTCTTTGTATCATTAAAGCAACAGAACCATTAGAACATCTATATGTACATCTTTGCCTACTTATCTACATCTACATCTGTATCTATTTATTTATGTATCTTTAGCTGTGTCTATATCTGAATCTCTCTATCTAATCACATACCTATATTATTACATGTATTTGTTTGCTATAGAGATTTGACTTGATGCAGTTGTGGGAGCTGCTGGGAGTTGAAGTTCAAGTAATCCAAATGGAATGATGAGTGTAAAAATAAGGGAAAACAAGAACAGGGTGGAACATGCAGGCATGAGTTGGAGCCCATGAGAATGAACTGAAATCTGTGTCAGTTCTCATTACCACTAACCTTGATGGTGCGGCTATATTGCAGAAGTTGGGGTGTTTCATCACAGAGCTAAATACACACCTGAAGTTGGAGAAGCTGAAAGATCTTGGTGAAGGTGGAGTGCTGGAAGGCTTGGCCATCATCTCACCAATGAAGTAAGCCAACAGATACATGATAATTACAGCAAAGAGGTAGGCTATTGTATAGAAAACAATGTAAGTTGTAACAGAAAAATTGTACAAAATGCTTATTAAAAATGGCAGGACAGGGCCACCTGGCTCAGTCCATGGAGCACACCACTCTTGATCTTAGGGTTATGAATTAGAGACCCACATTGGGTGTAGGTATTAGTTAAGTAATAAAATCTTTAAAAAAATGGCAGGACAAAAAAAAATGGCAGAACAGATTATATTCAAGTTACTGCAATAAGGAAAAGAGAGACTTCAGTCTAGAACTGAGCTTAACCCCAAATGTAGCAAAGACAGCTAAGGATTCTGCCAATTGGGCGACAGTGGATGGAAAATAACAAAGAGGAACTTGATTAGATATCAAAGGAATGGGCATTCTTGTTAAACTAATAGGCCAGGGATGCAGCTTAGTTGAGAAGAGGGCTCAACAGAACCTGACTCAAGTTTGGTCAAGGAGGGGTTCGTTGTCAATATTAACTATTAAAATAACTGCTGTTACACTTATGTACTTCAAAGCTCATAAAAGAATTGTCCCGATGGTCCAATCTAACTGAGAAATTTGGGAAATGTAGTTCAGCTTAGCCAAAGTGATATACTACAGAACTACTACACTCCTATTTGAAGACAATGTTTCTTCCTTGGGTCTTATTTTCCTGCTGTGAGATTCTGGTCATGGGTAATGGATTCCCTCACTGTCTCTCCTTAAAACAATGGGTAGATGGGATATTGATGGGCAGGACATTGGCTAAGTCAGCTTCCTGTTTCTACTTTGTGTTTTTTTTCCCCCATGAGTTAAATTATATTTTACTTAAAAAACATTTTATTATGATAAGAACAATTAATACGAAATCTATCATTTAAACAAATTTTCAGTGTACATTATTGTTGACCACAGGTATACTGTGGCACAGCATACCTCTAGAGTTTATTCATTTTATTTAGCTTAAACATTATGACTGTTGATTAACAACTCTGCATTTCTCCCTCAGCTCCTGGCCACCACCTTTCCAGTCTTTGATTTTATAAATTTGCCTATTTTAGATACCTTGTATAAGTGAAATCATGTAGTACTTGTCTCTCTGTCTGGTTTACTTCTCATTTTTTGCTTCTGTCTTAAGGTGAGCTTTCTGATATCCTTCCCTCACCCCCAGGTCTTTGCTCTCTGGTATAGGATGAGAGGCATGGTTTCATTTGGGAGGAGATCTGATGGTATTTATTGAGATCCATACAGAGTGGATTTTCTTGGATGCAATCTGCCAGAAAATAGCCACAACATAGGAAAAATATAAATAATTTCATTTTCATTTACTCTTAAAAGATAATTGGGAAATAATTTACTTCCAAGGCCGGGGGTGTGCCCCGAGCTTATAAGGCTTTGGAGATATTCAGAACAATGCTTTGCATTGTAAAGTCAATATACCTAAGAGCTACTAAGGCCCAGGCCTTGCTCAGATATTCAGAAACTTCCATCCCTCTTTCTGTGGGGTCAGACTTTCTCCTGTACTTCCCAGTCACATCTTTCTGAATGTGACCCAGGCTACGAGAATGGCGGCTATTTAAAGGACAGTCTTGTCATGCAGAGTATTTCACTTTTCCACCTTGTTAATTGGCTTCCAGGAGCCTGATGAAAACTAAATACTTTGTGTCTTGAGAGCTTGATGATTAAAAATGGAAGGAAGAAGAAGATTAAGTAATAAGAAAGTTAGTGAGCTAATTCCTCAGTGTTTATGGGAGGAAATCATTAGATGATTTCTAAAGTTGAGTTATTTAAGAATAAAAGTCTCATATTATTTAGAGTTATGGAGGCAACTACCAAAAAGAACTAAAACCATAGATGAATGGTTGTTTCCAGAGGGAAGAACTCGAAATGCGTTTGGGAAGGAGTGAAGTAGAGCAAAACCCTGTTTTTCTCGTTGTAATACCCTGGAAATTCCTTTTTTCCGTTTGAATGTATTATTTTGATAATAATTAAGAAACAAGTCAAACTAAACACTTCCAAGTAACTTTCACTATTTTACTTGGATGCATCACATATATTTTGTTAATGATTGAAAATAGGCTCTATTTACTAAGGAGGAACAAAAAGGACAGAACTGTTCTATTTCAGAGAATCTAAGAATATCCTTTCCAGAACTATGGGCAGGAAGATTTAAAAATTATAACTTATATACATTTTCATATTTAAAAAAAATACTTCAATTACAATGGATAAAGAGAAGATACAACTTAAGAGAATGTTTGGATATTGCTGGGGCACAAGTTTTTTAATCGTTAATGTAATTGGGGTAGGATTTTTTGTGGCCCCCAAAGAGGTACTGAAATACTCTTGCATGAATGTGGGGGTCTCCTTGTGTATTTGGACTGTTTGTGAGCTGTTGTCCATGATGAACACTCTCTGCTCAGCAGAAATAAGTATAACCTTCCCACGCAGTGGAGCTCACTACTATTTTCTCAAAAGATGTTTCTGCAACTTGATCTCTTTCCTGAGTCTCTGGACAAGCTTGTTTCTGGTGCCAGGGTTAGCTGCCAGCCAAGCCCTACTCCTTGCCGAGTACAGCATCGAGACTTTTTATCCCAGCTGCTCTGCTCCAAAGCTGCCAAAGAAATGTCTGGCGCTGGCCGTATTGTGGATCGTGGGAATTCTGAATTCTCGTGGTGTGAAAGAGGTGACTTGGCTTCAGACAGCCAGGCTAGTACTGAAAATGGTTATACTCGGCCTTATTTCCCTGAATGAAGTCATGCTGCTGGTGAGAGGAAGGAAGGAGAATGTAGAAAGATTCCAGAATTCTTTTGATATTGAGTTTCCAGAAGCTTCTGAGTTTATAGAAGCCATTTTCCAAGGATATTTTGCAGGTGGGGAATATTTTACATGTATAGCAGGTAATTAACAATTCATTGAGAAAGAAAATCTCTAGTCATGACTTACTGCACGCAATGTGAAATGTACTTTCTTTTTGAATATTTTGAGTTTTGCTTTAAATACATGATGATTCAATGTTTATTCTTTCTAAATTGAGTCAGAAAATGGCAGTCTTGCACATATCACCCAGTCTTAATGATTTCTCCCCTTCATTCAAAGGTGCTTATTTTGTTGAATGACTTACTTTTCTTCCACTTTCTTTTCTGGGACCATAAATATGGGATTTCCATGTTAACTAGTTTACTTTTTGTTAATGGATGAATTTTGGGATTGTGGAAATAGTTCCCTCCCATGAAACTGTGAATCCAGGAATGATCCAATGTCAGACTGTGTTTGTGTTGTGAGTGGGTGCGACACACTTATGCTCTGAAGTACTTTTAAAGAGAAGAGAATCATAGATGCACCAAATTACTCTGAGGCCAGATTTAATGCTCTTTCCTTCAATGTCAAGACAGAAGATTTCTCTCTTCATTTTACAAGTCAGTCTAAGGGTGCCTGGGTGGCTCGGTTGGTTGAGCATCCAACTTCGGCTCAGGTCATGATCTTGTGGTTGGTGAGTTCAAGCCCTGCATCAGGCTCTGTGCTGACAGCTAGGAGCCTGGAGCCTGCTTCCAATTCTGTGTCTCCCTCTTTCTCTGCCCCTGTGTATTTGGACTCTCTCTCTCTCTCTCAAAAATAAATAAACGTTAAAAAATTAAAAATAAATAAAACGAAATAAAATGTCTCTTCCCTTGAACTCTATCCTTTCCCTCTCACCTCCTAAGGGATCTTCCCCATTTCATTAATTTTTTTTCAATTTCAACCTTCTTACCAGTTCTTTTCCTTAACCTTTCAATATGAAGTGGGCTCTACTCTTAAAACACATACTGTATTTCCTTTAATCTTAGGACCCCCTGAGTCACTGATGTGTCCATTATGTATTAAATAATTTGGTCAGCAAATACCTTATTGAACACTGACTATTTTTGAAACCCTGTAGTAATGCCTTAAGATGAATAATATGGACTCCTAACTCTAAAGAGGCTAAAGTCTAATGGAAGAGGCAATATCTAGATTTTGGTCTGACCTGTGGCACTTATGAACTGTGGCAGGTATCTTTACTTGTTTGGGCTTACCTTTTTTTTTTCTCTCCTTCATCTGAAAAATGGTCATTATGACTTAAAATCACTATAATTTTTGTGCTTACAGATAACGGCATGATAGTATTTAATAAGTGGTTATACAGGGAACATTATGGCTACTATGAGAATTCAGTAGATGGTAAAATCACCTTTAGCTGTATCATCAAAAAGGTGGCAAGTTTCACTGAACTCAAAAAATTCCAGCAAAAAAAATATGAATGAAGCTGTGGAAACCAGAAGTATGCAGGTGCATACAAGACACAGCATGTAACTTTGGGTGACTGAAAATGGTTCCCATCTGATAAGCTGGTTAATAGATATGATTACTAAGTATATAAAGTATTACAAGTATATAGAGAGAAGTAGAACAAAATGGCATAGGATTAGAGACAGATGACTGGAGAAGACCAGCTTTTAGAGGGTAGGTGGAGAAAGAAGTTGCAATGAAGAAGTCAGAGGAAGTTTAGAGAATTATAAAAGAAAATCACTATATGTTCCAAGAAGAGGGTATATTCAACATGGTGAAATGCTTCCAAAAGTTGAGGAGGCTGAGAATTGAGCAGAAGTCATTTCACTAAGAAGTTATTGGTGAACTTTGGATGCAAGAGGGAAGTCAGTCTGTACTGAGTTAAAATGTGAAGCACTGAGAAAATAAAGCTTTGGGATGAGATTACCCTCTTACACAGCTTGTGATTAAATGTGCCACTGCAATTGAAAAAACTAGGATAATTAGCTCAACTTCCTCTCTTTCACTTCATCTTTCTCTCTCTTATAAGGTTAGAAGAGATATCTCTGGTTTCGATTTTATTCATCTTGTACCATTGCCAAAGATGTTTCACTGCTGGATAATTTTTCTCTGCTGAAAATAGGTTCACAAAATTTACTAACCTATAAACTATTATAAAATTCCTCACAAGCAGCTGACAGTAAACAAAGGTGGAGGAATTTCAGTGTATGCTGGGATGTTAATTTACTTAATAAACTTTAAGTACAGCTAAGCTCTAAGTAACTCTTTTACCTGTAAAAAGATGATATGTAGTCAACTGACTTAGCACATTGTAGGAACATCTATCCTCTAAGTTCAAGACCAAGGATATTCACTGTCTGGCCATTATAACCTTGAATTATGTTATGTTATGTTATATTCCTTACCTTCTCTCTATAAATCTAATACATAATAAAAAAGAGTAAAAGGCCCAGAGGAAAGTATAGTTAATCCTAAAAGTTGCCTTTTTTGCCTGTTCAAAACCTTTGACTAATAACCATAGTCATTAATAACTTATTGAGTGCTAGGCATTTGGTTGGAATTTTATTGTCTCTATATTTTCCATTCTTCCCAATATACAGGTAAAGAAATTGAAAACTTAGTAGTTCAATAAATTGTCCAGAAGCCCACATGTAGTAAATGGTTCAGGAAGCATTTAAATGAGAACTTTCTAATTTTTTATTCTTCAAGTGCTTAATCAGCTCATATTAGTATACACCATGGACATTATATTCTACCCCTGGGCAGATGCAGATGAAACAGATTTGACATATATGAAGGAAGGGTATTTATTAATCAGAGGGTTTTGGCTTTAAGTAACAGAAACCCACACACAGTGGCTTAAACAATAAAAAAGGAATCTGCTGGAAGAAGAAAACCGTATTTCAAGGAAGACCTGAGTAATCAATCTTTAGGAACAACAGGAGATAGGGAAGCTCTAGGACTTAAAAACTAGAGCCATCAGCCACCTTTCTTTTTTTCCCCATCATTATGTTGCTTTTTCCTGATTCTCTAAGTTTTGTTGACATTTGGTTCAAATTCTTGAGAGGAATCTTGTGTACTGGCAATGATCGGTTTACAGTAAGTCAGAGGTCTTACCAGCCAACAGCTGTAAGGACACAGAGTCACATTATATACTCAGAACTTTAATGTTCAATTCTTTATGTCAGGGATAATTCTCGGAGAATGGCAAAATTGGAGAAAACACTGTGACAAATGGAACAATATTTGAGAATAAGACTATCCTAGAAAACCCATTGTCTATGATGCTAAATCATGATCTCTTTTCTTTTTTGCACTTAATACTGACATAAAGGGAAGGCAAAGAGCCTACAGGGAAAGAGAACTTATGACTGACCCTTTTACTTTTTATATATATGCTATGAGAATGTGTATATATATGTATATTATATAATATATATATATGTTTAATGTTTACTTTTGAAGAAAGAGAGCAAGCAGGGGATGGCCAGAGAGAGAGGAGGACAGAGGATCCAAAGCGGGCTCCTGTGCTGACAGCAGAGAGCCCAATGTGGGGTTCAAACTCACAGGAGCCATAAGATCATGACCTGAGCCACAGGTGGACGCTTAACTGACGGAGACACCCAAGCACCCTACTACGAGAACTTATAATAGGACAGTTTTGCTAGCCAAGGAGAGCTTTCCCTCCTATGTTCCCAGAAGAAGTCATAATTTTGCTGAAATCTGAAAGAAGATTAAGGGTCAACCAGGAAGCTAGGAAAGGAAAAGAACTTCCACATGAGAGTATGGGTATAGGGGGCATGACATTTTTGAAAAACTGAAACCTGTAGACCTATGACACAGTTAGCACAGACCATCAAATTATCATGTTATATATTCTTGTAGCCCTTTATTTCTTTTCATATGGACACTTACCACAGTCACTGTTATAACTTTTATTTATGTGATTATTTACTTCATACATAGCTCTTCTTGAGGTTAGACTTTGTTTGTTCTTGCTTACTATTGAATTCCACTACCCAGATTAAGTGCCTTGTACCTAATAGATGGGGTTGAAGACACAGGTAGTCTCCAAACCATACAGGGTACTATGGGCTCATCTTTGATGTTCAGTCTTGCGACTTTCTTCAGAAATGCTATCATCTGTAAGGAAAAGAAAGAAGTTTTCTCCTTTTTCACACTTAACACCAAGATCATCTAGGAAAGGAGATAGGTGTGTAGCAGTTCATCAATGTGTTTGTGTCTATGTGTATGATTAAGTGTGGTAGTGGCCAGGGTGGCTAAGAAGAAGTCAACCCCACTGGTAATGCAGGAAGCAGTTTTAAAGATAAATTTAAGACATAATTTTTTTACCAATTGTTATTTTGCTCTTTTATATGTTATAGGGGAGCTGAAGAAACCCAGAAAGACAATCCCAAGATGCATATTTACTGCATTACCTCTGGTGACTATCATTTATCTGCTGGTTAACATTTCCTGCCTGACTGTTCTCACACCCAGGGAAATTCTTTCTTCAGGTTTGTATGCAAGTGAATAAGGCAAAAAATAATAATGACAGTTCTATTCCTTTTAGTATATGTAAGTACCAGTCAGACTGCTGTTTGCTTTTCACTATTTTATATAGACAGTCAACTTGTAATTTTCAAAAATAATAAAAGGGGCAAAGAGTATGATTTGGCTTAGGAAAGAGTTTTATATTTTTAAGCATGATAATATAGAAAACCATATTTCTGATGATATGGAAAAATATCTATAATGCTGATATACGATGCAGACTAGGTTCAAAATATTTGAATCCCTTCAGTGATCTTTCTTCACCAGAGTGACACTATATAATTAGTGCTTAGGTTTGTTAAAACTTTTACAAAAAAACCCCACACAACTTTTACAACAATGATTTTATAAATATTCTTCTAGGTGACATAAGGAATGAAAAACTTGAAATGTGGGACGTTAGCCGTTAAAAGGGTAGATGTTAGGGTCAATTAATGGATATAATTAATAACATTAATATGTAACATAATAATGCTTATTATAAATTACTCTAAAATTTATGGTGACAAAGGGGCCCTGAACATATTGGAAATATGAAATAATCTTCTGAGATAAACTATCATCCAGCACCTTTAGGACTACTCTTTTGAGTAGCACTTTTTTTTTTTTTTTGCTGATCTGGTTTTATTTCAATTTTACAGAAACGTGATTAAGTATGTAATTGTAAGTCCAGAAACAAGTGTACAAAAATGCACGTACGATGCCAGAATTCCTTACAAACAACTAAGATCATATTCTCGTTCGGCGTAAACCATGCATCCGTATCAACTGCCGCGCGTTGGCCAAAATCGATCTCTACAAGAGACGGTCCGTTACGGCCAATAAAAAACTGGTTGTGAACACAGATTTAAAAAAAGAGAGAGAGAGAGAGGGGCGCCTGGGTGGCTTAGTCGGTTAAGCGTCCGCCTTTCGCTTAGGTCATGATCTCGCGGTTCGTGGGTTCGAGCCCCGCGTCGGGCTCTGTGCTGACTGCCAGCTCAGAGCCTGGAGCCTGTTTCGGTCTGTGACTCCCTCTCTCTCTGACCCTCCCCTGCTCACGCTGTGTCTCTCTCTCTCTCTCTCTCCTAGAAATAAATAAAAACCATTTAAAAAAAAAAAAAAAGGAGAGAGAGGTTTTCTGATTAATGTAAAGGAAGAGCAGTACCTTTCTCAACGAGCCCTTCAGCCCTGGGTGACCGTGTCACCGTGCTGCGCAGTCACGCGTCGCCCCCGAGACCCGGTCCTGACGCGACAGCGGAGCAAGGAACTTCCCGGCAGTTGAAGCGAACGTGTGAGGAGACGGAAGCTGTCCGGCCACGACGAGCTCGCTGGCGCAGCCTCGCGCAGGGCGCTCGCGGATGCTCAGTCTTGGAAAGGGCTCCCAAGCTGGGGGCTGTGGACGATCTCAAAGGTGCCCCAAGCTTTTCAGCCTCGCTTTTCTGCAAGGCCAGCGTCGTCTCCTGCGCGGAAGACATTCCAGCTCCACACGTCGCTCTTCGTGAGGGTCTGTGATTAGGAGGCTTGATGCGGAAAACCACGGATTGGACACTTTCTTTCAGGCCTGACATCTGTAGGCCGGGTACATCTCGTCCAGGGACTGGTACGTGCGACTGCTGGACACACAAAGAAAAACCAGTGTACACTCGTGGCCCCAAAGCCTGCAATGCTTAGGGTCACAGACCTCAAAGTGTGTCGCCTGTTGTCAGGAGAGGCGGTGTTGCTCCAGGGGGAGAGCAACTGAGACCTGGATTTAACAAAGGTGTTTTCCACACAGGCTGAGGGCTGTAGAGACTTCATACCAACTGAAAGGACTTCCCCTTAAATACAGCATTCCAGAAGGTTCTTCAAAAGCGGGTCTCCTGGTCAGAGAGAACCAGCTGGGGCAGTGAACATTTATTTACCTAGAGCTCATCAGTCGGGCCGCCTGGGGCCTTGTTTGGAGCCTCTTACACACCGTCTGCGCTTCCACAGTTACTGTTTTGGTAACTCTTTGAGGCACTGGAGGTAAATCTAAGAGAGGTTTAATATAAAAGTCTTAACACACTTTGCCTGCATCCTTGTGTTACTGCCATTCAGGAAGCTGTCATATACATGGTATCAGTGTTGAGTCACAATGGTCTAGCTCTCATAGGGACCTGTACACTAGACATGATCAAGATTTTGAGTGTTTGTGGGAACAAACTAAATGATAAATTAGACAATAACAAGTAGTGATTTATTAACTACTTTGATTATGTAGGGAATAAATTTATAAAATTAATTATGGATATGGTCAGGGCTGTTGGTCAGGTGACCCAGATGTTACGGTTCATTGAATCTGGCATTTGTTATGACTGCCACTGCTCTGGTCATACTCATTGTTAAAAAATAGGGGCGCCTGGGTGGCTTAGTTGGTTTAGTGTCCGACTTTCGCTTAGGTCATGATCTCACGGTTCGTGAGTTCAAGCCCCACGTCGGGCTCTGTGCTGACTGCCGGCTCAGAGCCTGGAGCCTGTTTCAGAGTCTGTGACTCCCTCTCTCTCTGACCCTCCCCTGCTCATGCTGTCTCTCTCTCTCTGTCTCCTAGAAATAAATAAACATTGTTAAAAAATAATGATTATCTTTTCTGGTGTGTCCTAATAGTGGTAGCAATTTTATGGGTGGCACAATTGTTCCACACGTGTGGAAGTCCCATGAAGTGTTTTGACTTTAGTTGCTTGTAATTTGGTTTTCAGTGCTTACTCTTGTAGGAATATAATCCTCAGACCTTGTTTAGATTCTGTAATAATTTTCTTGAATTCAAATATCTATCTTCTTTTTTTTGTAAATGTTTTATTTCTGAGAGAGAGACAGCATGAGCAGGGGACGGTCAGAGAGAGAGGGAGACACAGAATGTGAAACAGTCTCCAGGCTCTGAGCTAGCTGTCAGCACAGAGCCTGACGCAGGGCTGAACCCATGAACCGTGAGATCATGACCTCAGCCGAAGTTGGACACTTAACCGACTGAGCCACCCAGGAGCCCCTCAAATATCTATCTTCTATTGTATTAGGAATTTAAGTTAAGAAGATAATTAGAGCTATACATGAAAAATGTATGTAGAGGAACAACCATCATAGCATTACACATGACAGCAAAAAATTAAAGATCATCAAAGTATCCAATAAATTTGAAATAAAAAAATTTAGGGAAATCCATATAATAGGCCATTCTGAGTGTTTTCAAAGACCATTTTGTTATGAATACTTAAAGTAAATGAGCAATGTTTATAATGTAACAGTGATGAAAAGCAGGATCTATATTATGATATAAAACAGAAAGTAAATAGTTAATGGTGGAGATCTGTTGGAATGATATTGTGATTTTTGCTTGGTTCTTTTCTGGATTTCCCAAATTTTCTTTAATGAACTGTATAATTTATATAGTGAAAGAAATAAATTATAAGTAAAGGAAATAGATTCCTAAATTAAGGAAATGTAAGGATTAAGGAGTGTTTTCAATCAAATGAATATATTTAAAAGATACGAAAAGTTCCAGAGGAATATAAAGTATCTAAGATGTGGTGTGAATTGGGTGCTACATTTTCTTTGATGAACGATGAAACAAATTATACCAAGCTGTGATACATATTAGACTCTGTGGTTTATATGGAGAAAACACCAGTGCTATTAATCATGTATTGTTTTTGTTTATATCAGTGATAGAGCTCTGACCTGCTTCTTTGCTAATTGTTCTCTTAGAAAAAAAAAAGGACATCATTTTAAATAAATTTTACAACACAGTGGGAGGGATGTCTCTCTAGAATGGGGTGTGTGGAAATATCATAATGAGAAGCCTTGGTTCTCAGCTTTTTCAGCTTGAGGACTTCAATGTTATTCAAGTCCTGCTAAACCACTGCTGACGGGGGTGCTCCCATTTAGTATTCTGGAAGGTCCCGTGTTATCTTTAAAACTAGAGAATATTGTCATAGGAAGAGGTACTCTAAAACAGCAAATAAATTGTATGGGAGCAAAGGCTAAGAAGGTTTTCCTGACCAGAAGCAGCCTGCAGGTAGCTGGCCAACCAAATGTGGTTAGGAATTTTGAGAGGAAAATGGAAATGTCAGAATCACTTACTGGTGAGTTGAGGTAATCATTTTGGAGGGTAATTTTGTAATAATTTGTTTATTTAAAAATGTATTACTGGGGTGCTTGGGTTGCTCAGTCAGTTAAGTGTCCAACTTCTGCTCAGGTCATGATCTCATGGTTCGTGAGTTCGAGCCCCACATAGGGCTCTGTGCTGACAGGTCAGAGGCTAGAGCCTGCTTCGGGTTCTGTGTTTCCTTTTCTCTCAGCCCATCCCCCACTCGTGCTCTGTTTATCTCTTAAAAATAAATAAATGTTAAAAAAAATTTTAATCCACCAATTGGTAAGTCATTTAATTTACAGTTATGTAATGGAATAATGAGAATTCTTTAAAATAACTAGATGGATGCATATGTACTAATATGATCAAGGTATATTGGAAAGTAAAAACAAAGCAAGCCTAAGTGTGCCTGCACACACACACACACACACACATAGGTACATACCTTGCACGAATGCTTATATAGGCATAGAAAATTTCTGAAGGAATATCCAAAAAGATATTAACAGTAGTTACATCTGGGTTGCATGAATGAAGGATTGGTAAGGAGAAGGACATTTACTTTTTACTTTATGTGCTTCAGTGCTATTTATTTTACTTCTTATCAAAAGCGTATATAATAAAATTATAAAAGAAAATAAATGACATGAGAAAAAGAATAAAAAAGAAAAAATTACTCGTGGAATAGAGATTAAAGATTATGTAGCAGAGTTGAACTAGAACTTCCTCTAATTATAACCAATTGGGTTTGTAGAATGCATGTCAGGAAATCAAAGGACAAGGGCTTTACTAGTGGGGAGAAGTATTTCCGAGATGTGTTTGAAAATGGAAAATGTGTGGAGGTATATGTGTCCAGCAGGAACAACCAATAATACTTTATTTAAAATGAACAATAAGTGAGACAGGAAATATTTTATTTTATTTTATTTTTATTTTTTTACAAATAGTTTATTGTCAAGTTGGTTTCCATATAACACCCAGTGCTCATCCCCACAAGTGCCCCTCTCCATGCCCATCCCCCCCCAGACAGGAAATATTTTAAAAGAAGATCTAAAATTGTAGAAGAGCACTAAAGAGAAAGGTGAAAATAGCACTTAACGCTGTTTAATGTATGTGCTGCCGAAGCGAGTACACACTTAAGGCTGTTTAAAATGGGTTCAAAAATAGAGATTTTTAAGACGAATCGTTGATGCTAACTTAATTTTGTCATATTGAAAAAGTTTTAATATTTGTTATAAGTCATTATGTTGATTCCTTAGAGGCAACGCCAGTGCCAGGGCAAAGCCCCAGAGGATACCTACTGTCAAGGACACTGAGAACTTATTTCCCTGTGTCTAAATGATCTGTCCTAGCTTATATCTACATAATATGAATTGGACTCAGTTTCTCATAAACAGTGGGTGCATTTCTTCATTGTACCTTTTTTAATCTACTGACTTATAATGAGTTAGTGTTTATAATATAAGATCTCTTCACAACTTCTTCACTTGTGACAACCAAAAAATGCCACCAGATATTGCCAAAGGATCTGTGAGGCGCAAAATCACTTCTGACTGAGAACCACTGGTCTATAGTTTAGACAAACACTGAAATGTGTTGAGTGTTTTAATCTATGCATAATTTGTTTTCTCTGTCTACAGGGTTGATTTTTAAATTTCTATTAAGTATTTCAAATTGCACCACAACATGGAGCCTTTGTAAGGCTCCTTCCTGTATCAGCAATGTTGCTTTTTTTTGACTCTGACTGCAACTATTAGCGATCTGTAAAGTAGTTTTAGAAAATAGGTTAGCAATCATCAATTCAACCATTCATTTCATAATTGTTATTGAAAGCTTAAACAGTATTTCTGAGACTTGTTGAAGTACATGTCTTTATAGTAAAGAAATGAATGATCCTTGCCCTCAAGAAGTGAAGTTTCTGGTCTTTTGGGGATGATGAATGAGATGGTAACCATACAGTGTGACAGGACTAAAATGGGCGCATGCATATGGTGTTAGGTACATGTAAGACAAATAATGAAATTAAACAAAATTTAACTTTCTTAATTCCCTTTTGAGTTTCCTGCCTTCATTTAGAGATAATCTTTAAAGGTTTATCATTAATTTCTTGTTTTTAATACATTGCCTTTTGTGTGTTCTTATTTTTCTGCAGATGCTGTCGCTATCACGTGGACTGATAGAGTAATCCCCTCATTAACATGGGTTATTCCTTTTAGTATTTCTGCCTCAATATTTAGCAACCTTCTTAATAATGTATTTCAATCATCAAGAGTAACATATATGGCTGCCCAAGAGGGCCAACTGCCTTTGCTATTTAGTATGCTTAATATTTACTCCTCTCCATTTATATCGGTGCTAGTATTTGTCACTAAGGCATCAATTGCCATTGTCTCAACAAACCTCATTGACCCAATAAACTATCTTTATTTTGTAGTTTTTATTTGGTCTTCATCATCAATGATAGGAATACTAAAACTGAGATACCAGGAGCCAAATTTACCTAGACCTTACAAGGTATTTTTTTTCTGTGTGAAATAAAATATACTGTAACCATGTTTGAAGACTATATTCAGAACATATATGGGTAGATCCTTTTACTACTAACAAATTGTGATGCACATAGAGGTAATCTGGTCTCAGTTTTTATTGGAGAAAAGTGGCCTTGATTCTTTATCAGAATAGTCTAGGTGTGCTAGGCTTCATGTTAAAAGCTTTGCTTGGCTTATCACATTTAATCCTCTCAGTAATACCAAAGGCAGATACTACTCTTATTCCCTTCTTACAAATGGGGAAACAGGTTTAGAAAAGTTGTTACTTACCCAAGTTCATGCTGTGTGGAGTAAAGCCAAGACCAAAACACTCCCTTTGGAGTGTTTGCCTTTTAGCACATACAAATAAATATAAGAAATGTAAACTATAAATAATTTAATAAAGAACACAGGGAGAAAGAAAGCAATGTTCCAATAATCACCCTTGGTTAACTTATAACCAACCTTCCTTTTCCATCCTCCTTCTACTTCTTCCATCCAGTCATACCCTTATTGTTGCATATTTGAGTATCAGTTATTGAAAGCAATTATATTTTAAGCACCTTACTAAATATTCAGGGTGCAGAAAGGAGTAAGACTTGGCTCCTGCCCTTGGGCAGGGAATAATCTATCTGGACACTCAGGTGAACCAAAAATCATAGTATGATTATTGTCACATGGTGGCCTCCAGAAGGTGTTAAAAAAAAATACATGGGGAAGGAGGGATCATTTTGTTATTTCACCTCAGATCCTCAGTTTCTTCAGAACTAAAATGGGAATAAATAATGCCTACCTCCTAGGAATATGGAATGTATTAAGTGAGCTAAGACATGCAAAGAATCCAGAGTCTAACATAGATAGTTATTATTATTTATATTATTATTTGATACACATTTGCATCAAAAAGAAAGGCAATGGCAACCATAAATATAAGCAGTTAACATTTGTCTTGAGTGTCACATGAATGCTCTTTTCCCTCAGTTATTTGATAATTAATTCTGAGCTGTGAGATGACAAATTATCTTTCTTAGGGATGTTTTACAAATTAGGAGGAGATTTTTTTTTTTTTTTTTAATGTAAGCTCTATGCCCAATTTGGAGCCTACACTTACCACCTGAGATCAAGGGTTGTATGCTCTACTGACTGAGCCAGCCAGGCACCCCAAAAGGAAATTCTTAATTAATTGCCTAGGAGCATAACCTTTTAATTAAAGGGTTTCATAAATATGAATTCAGCTATGTTATATTTTGGGGATATAGATTCATATCTATTTATTTAAGATGTATATCAAGTGTGACTGCCTATTGAATTTTCTCCCTAGGCTGGATAATGTTTGGTGCAGGACACTTAACAATCCTAATGCAAAGCAGGTACCAAGAATAGGGCTTGGCAAAAACCCACCAAAAATAGGGAGAATTGTCTTGGCCGAAGTTTTTGTTTTGATTTTTTTCAAATGTACTGAGCCTATAAAGTCATAGTATTTACCAGTCAATATCTGCCTGAATAACCAGAGGGTCTGAGGATACTCTGTTTTTGACATGACCTTCCCACTGCCTTGAGATATTTTCTTGGGAAAATTGTGACTTTCTGAGCTTTAGGAACTTCCTCTTAATGAATTCCTGCTGCCTAGATCAGAAGATGGTTATCTTACTAGAAAATGATCATGATTATTTCCACTCACAGTCAAACACTAGATGGTCATTCCCTTCAACCATTGCCTTGATGTTGAAAGTCTTCAACATTCTACTACTAAGATTTATCTAAACACAGATAAGTTAGCCCATTTTCTTTCATTAACTTAGATCTTATGTTTGTTTATATAAATATGCAGTACTTTATATAGGTTTTCATATCTAATTTTATTTTTTGAAGTTTGCTTTTTTTGGTGTTTTTTTCATTACCTTTGGTAACAATGGCCATCAACCTGTGCTTGGTTTTGGTCCCTTTGGTGAAGTCTCCACATATGCATTATATTTATGCATGTCTCTTTGTTCTCAGTGGACTTTTGTTTTACATACCTTTAATATATTTCAAATTGAGGTTGCTTTGGTTTGAGAAAATGACATGCTATTTACAGTTGCTGTTTAATGTTTGCATCCCTGATGTGGGTGAAGAACAGATGTCAGAAGTACAAACTTAAAAAAAAAATAACCTTCTAAAGGCACTTCAAATTAAAAAAAAAAAAAAGATCAAGCACATTATGGAACATTAATGATGAAATGGCCATGGTAACTTGCTTTCTTGAATGAAATAGTGTACAAAGAAGTGCCCATAATAATACCTAGTTTTAAAAATCAGCAAAAATTGTTATGTAAAACTAAAGGTCTGTTTTGGTTTCCATGGCTTGATACATTGATGATATATCCCCATATCTTCCATTTTTTTCTGCACCCCACCCTTTACTGCTGAATTTATGGTGATTTTATGATACAAGTAACAATCAAAATCTCCTAAGTCTTTCCTATAAATTATGGCTTGAGACATGCCTACTCTAAGACTGTGTGGGATGGATATCACCTCTACAAGTCTGTCAGGTCAATAAAATTTCTCAGGGAAACTTTTGACTTTTATTCCACAACTGGTTGGTGGTAGAAAAAGCCAGGATTTTAACATTTGTCTTTCAAGGTAAAATTGCAGCATGAATTTTCTATAATACACACATATATATATATTTCTATTATATATCTTTTTGTATTATATCTATATATATATGTATTATATGTTTGGAAATAAGGCCTTCTAGAATGTTTGTATAGCATCTCTTCTACTTTCCAGTTCTTCTTGTACCACTCCTGACCATAAGTGCTTTACTTTCCTATAATATTTATTTTAAGTAGAGTCTGTTTTGAAGCCATCTATCAAGAATTCCTTTGATGATGTTACGCAAGGGGCTTACTTGCTATACTCTGAAGTGCAGTTAATGACACCTGCCTATTTGACCCAGGTGAATTGTGGAAATTAATTAGTTGTGTATAACTGTACTTGGAAGTTTAAAAGTCATCTCATCTCTATTGTATAAATAGGACCTTAGAGATATTAACTGTTGTTTCATGAAATTGGCAAAGCAGATGACACCTGAGGAACTTTCACTTTCTCTCTAGGCAGAGCAGGTTTAGAATATCTCTGAGAGGGTTTATTGGTTTCCTAGAGTTGGTTGCCATAAAAAATTAACACAAATTTGGTAGCTTAGAAAAACAGAAATTTGTACTTTCATCGATTTGGGATTGAAGTCCAAAATCAAGGTATTGGCAAGATTGGTTCTTTCTGGGAGCCCTCAGGGAGGATCTGGTCCATACCTCTCTCCTAGCCCCTGGTGGTGGCTGGGATTCTTGGCTTTACTTGGTTTGTAGCTACATCACTCTCGTTTTGACCTCTAACTTCTTTCCCTTTTCTCTCTGTATGTCAAATCTTCTTCTCCTTTCTCTTAAAAGGAAACTCACCTTAATCCAGGACAATTTCATCTTGAGATCCTCAATTACATCACAAAGATCCTTATTCCAAATAAAATCTCATTCTAATGTTCCAAGTGGATATTCTTTAGGGGAGCTAACATTCAACCCACTAAGCTAGGTCTTCCTAGTTATCAAATTCAATTCCTAGTTTGTGTGGTAATCTCTTATAACATGCAGGCTCATTCTTGAAGGCCAGCCTGTTTTTACTTCTTTCTGTGGGTACCAGCTCATCTGCATGCTAGAGCTGGAGCTAAAATATGCAATCTGGAAGGATCACAAAATTTATCCCAGGATGTCTGTCATACAGTGAGCCTCCATATTAGCAACATGTCCTGAAAGAACAAGATCAGTATTTCACAAAAGACCATAAACTAAACTTAAGGATCATAGCCAGGTAATTTCCAGAACTGGATTATTATGATCCTGATGTCAGAGACCCTAGCAGACAAAGAGAGCCCTGGGAATTCATGACAAGCAAGAATCCTTTTTTTTTTTTTTTTAATATTTATTTATTTTGGGGAGAGCACATGATGGGGAGGGGGTTAGAGGGGAGACAGAGGATCCAAAGTGGGCTCTGTGCTGACAGGCTGACAGCATCAAGCCTGATGTGGGGCTCAAATTCACGAACTGTGAGATTATGACCTGGGAGCCACCCAGGCATCTGGACAAACAAGAATCTTGATGCTGCCGTTTATGCCATGTTTTGTTGTCTAGGGTAAAGATGTGGTTGTGAAAGAAATAATTGTGCTGCAGTGGCTCTGTTCATGTCTTTCCATTAGGCCTAAAAGATGGGGTTTTTGGAGATGACATCCTTCTGAGTTGCTTTGTTCAATTTCTTGTAAGTGAAGCTAGTAGGAAGGTAAGAAAAGTCATTTTGCTTAAGTGTCAGCTCTATGACAATGCCTTAGGCATATTGGGATATTTCCTAGCTTATAGTTAAGTGCTTGTTTAGAAGCATGAGAAACAAACTACTTGAATGTAGAAAAGTCACACAATAAGTTTGTAGAGAATAAAGCCTTCAGCATTATATTTCTAGATAAGGCATTTCTGAAACTTTACGATGAGGGAAAAAAATTAAGCTTCCCTTTATTATCGCCGATGATGTTGGACCTTCAATGAGAGTTTTCAATATAGAAAATATTTTTTTTTCAGTTTGGGGAAATTTTTCGAATCATTTCATTGATAAGTTCTTCCTCTATGTTTCTGTTGTTTTCTTTTTCTAGAATTTTTATTATTTTGGTGTTGGACCTCCTGGACTGGTCTTCTGGTTTTTTATCTATTCTCTAGAGATTTCCTAATGCTTCCCTCTTCCTTCATTTTAATTATTATATTTTTAAGGTCTCATTTGTAATACTTTTTAGTAACATATTGTCTTTGGCTCATAGATTCAATATCTACATTTATATTTCTGTTGCCCATGTTGAAGTATGGCTTTTCTCAGATGTCTTGTAAACCTTTAACTGTTTGCTTATGATTAATGAGTCAAAAAGTTGATGAGAATTTTGAATGCGTGCATGAGGTTTATGAAATTGAAAACTAGAGTAGTCCCTCCTTATCTATGGTTTCACTTTCTGTGTTTTCAGTTACCTGCAGTCACCCACGGTCTGGAAGCTACCTCCTGCATGTTGTCACAAGGTCAGTAGTAGCCTAATGCTGTCACAATGCCTATGTCACTGACCTTGCTTCATCTCATCACATAGGCATTTTATCATCTCACATCACAAGAAGAAGGGTGGGTACAGTACAATAAGATATTTTAAGAGAGAGAAAGGGAGATCACATTCACATAGCTTTTATTACAATATATTATTAAAATTATTCCATTTTATTATTAGATATTGTTGTTAATATCTTACTGTGTTTAATTTATAAATTAAACTTTATCATAGGTGTGTGTATATAGGAAAAAAAAAACAGCACATGTAGAGTTTAGTACTATCTGTGGTTTCAGGTAGCCAGCGGGTGTCTTGGAATGAATACCTTAAGGATTAGGGGGATTACTGTATATGGTGATATGGGTATACTAATTGTTGAGGACTTCCCAAAGTTAAAAGCTGTGTATCTGTCATCTTGGGCTGGTCAGGTTCCCCAAGGAAATCTAATCTTTTCAGAGCAAGGCTCTGACTGCTGGTTACTGGGAGCTGAGATGGAACAGGACTAGAAAACACAGTCTCAGCACTTAGTAATCAGGATATATAATTACATTTAAATCTCTTATTTTCACATGATGCTTAGAATTCCAGCTGTGCTGATGCCTCCCAGAAATAAACCTCCAGTTCTTTGCTGTAGTAGCATAGGATCAGAGCAGTTACTATGGGTGAAGAGTAGAATGGGGAATCCAGGCATTATTTCCATTTAATCCTCCTTGTTAAAGTGCTGCAACTTCTGCCCCCTTCTCCAGTCATGTGTAATTCTATGACTTAATGTGATGCTCTCAGCATTCTGCATTAGAAGTCAGATTGGTTCTCAGCTTCTCCTACTTTTAGTTTAGGACCTACTATCTTGAGTCTGCTAACCAGTTACCTTTCATGAATTCACTTTCCAGTTTCCAATATTTTATTGCTCTCCTCTTTCCTCCTTCCTCACAGAGTTATTTATGTAAACATTTCCTCTGCTGTAGTTTTAGTTGGATTCCAGAAGAGGGGCTTAAATAGAGGGGCCTTTTTTAGTCTGCCATCTCATCTTAGAATCTTAAGTTTCAATATTTAAGATTTTATTTTTATTTTTTAAAAAATTTTCAATGTTTATTTTTATTTTTGAGAGAAACACAGTGTGAGAGGGGGAGGAGCAGAGAGAGAGGGAGATACAGAATCTGAAGCAGGCTCCAGGCTCTGAGCTGTCAGCACAGAGCCCGATATGGGGCTCGAACTCATGAACAATGACCTGAATCAATGTCAGACACTTAACTGACTGAGCCATCTAGAAGCTGCAATACATTTAAGAATTTAAAAATATATGCTGCAGAGATTTTTTAAAATAAATACTATGTCAGTCAGAAAATCTGAATTGAAGGAGCCAGTGACAGGCAGGAAAAAAAATCTTAATTGATAAGACTAACTACTTTTAAAATTTTTAAGGGAAAGGTGTGGAAAGAGAATTGACATATAAATCTTTGTCTCAATGACATAAATTGTTTTAAAACAAAAATGTAATTTCTTCTGTGTTTCATGGTATAGTGCAATATCTTCTTCTTTTTCAATAGCTGATGGCATTTACAGCTTAAAATCTACAAAGATGTCCTATGTCTTTATTACTTTCTAGTCCTACATTTTTAGGTTAATTGCTCATTCAAAGTTTCTGTCTGTGTTAGTTTTATGGAGGATGATGTGCGTCATGGCAAGTCAGAGAAGTCTACATTACATAGAATCTATGAGTGCTTAAGCACAGGGAGATCTGATTGCTTTTTCCCTTCTTCCTTGCTAAACAAAAACCAATTTTATTTAAGTAAAAAGCAAAATCATTCCCAATTTTAGGGGATGAATCATAACTGATCTTAGTTAATCACTGTAATCCCATGCTTCTTGGCTGGGATTGGCTTAGGGGTGAGCATGTGATCTAGTTTTTGCCAATAAAATGTAAAGGAGAGTCTCGTATAGAGTTGATAAGAAAGATTATTCTTCCCAGTTAAAAAACAGAAACCAGGGTATTGGGGTGGCTCAGTTGGTTAAGTGACCAACTCTTGATTTTG